ATGGCCACTTCGACCGAGTATCCTTCCCTTGTAAGGCCGCCCTACAGACCGATATTCTGAGAAAAAGCTACCTTACAACCATTCTCCCTTCCCCCCTCCCCCCTCCTTCCCCCACAGATCAATAATTATGAGAAGGCGCTGCCCTATAGGAACCAGCCCGATATCCTAAAGTATTCTATTACCCTAGAACCCCTACAAACTGTGCTGCCGTGCGAAGCGCTCACATATGATCTGCTCTATGGAGCCGAAAACCGAAGTTTTGATCAAAGAAAATGGAGCTACCAGCTACTTAGATACCTACACAACGGTATTTCGAGGAAGTGCCCTTGAAATCCATACAAATCGATCTTCTGTAACTGCTTTACTGGCCTCTTACAGATCAAAATTTCAAAAAAGAAATGCCATATGAGATCCTACAGACCGATATTTGGAGGGAAAAAACTGCCTTATGGGCCTGGAAGGAGCCGCCCTATGGGGGAAGGGGGAGGGGGAGGGGGAAGGGGTGGTTGCATACCGATATTTTGTGAAAAAATGCCCATGGGCCTCTTGCAGGCCATTATCTTGGTAAGGAACTGCCCTTTGCGCCGCTTACAGACCGGTATATAAAAAAACATATCTTGAAAAAAATTCCCTCAAGAGCCGCTCATAGATCGGTATTTGAAAAAAAAACCGCTCTGCGAGTTCCTTATAAACAAGTATTTGTGACTTCCCAGTATCCAAACAAAAAAGTAATTATGAACCGCTTACGATATTCACGTTCACGCAAACCAACTTTCAAAGGGACCCCTATGCGCCGCATACAGACCGACTATTCTAGGAGATGCTTGGCCTCTTATAGATCAGCATCTGAGAAATTATTTTGCCATATGCGAAGCTTATGGAACGATAATTGCATGATTTATAGAATAAACTCGTTACGTGAAGCTTACAGATCAATACTATTAACAGAGCTGCCTTACGAGCCCCTACAAATCAAGAAAGTGTCCTATAAACAACTACATTTATTGAAAGATCTACCCAATGGACAGCTAATAGACCGGAGTTGTAAGAGGTGATTGCCCTATGAGCCTTAGAGACCTATAAAAATCGCTCTGCGGGCCGTTTACCAACTTTTATCTCGAGAAGAACAAAGAACTGTCCTCATCAGTCCTCACCAATTATGAGCAACCATGAACTTTGACGAATTACGGGCTGCCAAGAACTTTAGCAGAAAGATGAGAGTGTGAACAGTTGAAGCGTAAACGTTGAGAAACTACTACAGCATGTTTACGCAAGATACCGAGTTCCCAAGTCGTACATCCGAGTACAAATTTGCGAAAGAGGGGGGGGGGGAATACTGTTAGCAACCTTACGAGAGTGTCGGCACCTCCCCACACTATAGCCTTTTTGCACTTAGTAGACGCACCCTTTCGAAAACATTTCCCGAGGAGGAACGATGCTTACCCCTTCGAAAACGCGTTAGCCTCGTTGACGAATTTGTACCCTCCGCACCCTCGGCAATCACTCGCCTCATTCCGCAACTTGTCAACATGTAAGTGCAAAACTTGCCATTCTTTATTATAGAATGATCTTTTGGTATACGGTGTGTCCGTAATTCATGGTGACACGGTAGACACATGGTGATACTTTATTATTTTCTATGGTAAGGCTTTTAAGAACATTTATCACAACGTACAGTAAGTTTCGACCCGCATTAGGCGGAAATTGGAATGGCGAGTGTCCGCCTCGCAACAGCTCGCGCCGTTTCGCAGCTACAGTACATCATATCGTGCTGAGAACCGAGGTCTGCGTCTCTTCCTTCTCCTCAGTCCCTGCATGGCAAAATGCCAGCGCTATGCGCTCGCGAGACTTCCGGCGGTGCGTACGCGTCCCTCCTTATGGGATGTTCCGCCTAATCCGGGATGAAACCGACTGTAAATCGCGAATAAGCAGGTCCTGGTACGAAGTTCTCATTATCGAAAATTATCGCGAACAATTGGACAGTTTTTATTTACCCTTATCACTGATATAAGCATTTGATCATTTATCATTGATGATATCACATTTTTGGATCATTTTTGGCATATGGTAAGAAAAGTAGTTTAGGAAACGCTGTGTGAATTTCTATCGCTCTTTCTCTCGTTATAAGTGATCTACAGGGTTTTCCACTTCTATAGCTCGGTGCAATTGATAGATCCCTCGCTGCAGCAATCGATCGATTTCTCATCGGCACATGCCATTGCTGCCAGTTCTTACCTGAAATGGCATTTTTGTTTCAACTCACTTCACGCCGAAGCCCGAGCTGAGATTCTGCGCCTACATGGAAGATGAACGTTGGAATCGACCGCATGAGTTTAGAGCCATTCTTATCTGTCGTTGTCATTGAATCTCATTTTATCATTTATCACTGATAATATCACAAAACTGTATCATTCTTGACAGTAAGAAATGTACTTCAGAAAACGCTGTGCGAGTTTTTATCTCTATCTCTTATAATATGTAATCTACAGGCTTTTTCGGTTCAGTTGCGCATTTGGTGCAGTAGATAGATCCGTCACTGCAGCAATAGATTGATTACACACATGCGCATGACACCGTCTCCTTGGAGAAGTTGCTCTTTCGGAAAAATTCACTCTCTATAAATTGTGAATGAACCGAGTCGCCTGTCAAAAGGAGTTTCAACTATGAGCTGAACACTTCTGTTTTCTGCGTATTGGACATACAGATCCAGATTAGGGTCAAGCGTGTTGATGCGATCTTGGACCCTCATTTACGACCCCACCCCCCCCCCCCCCTTGAAGGTACCCATCCGTACCACCGTAAGACTGAGAGGCTGCAAAGAACAGGTTCTGTAGCATAGTGCTCAGACTATTCATAGAAAAAGTCTCAGCCCTTGAGGAGCAGTGAGCTCAAAAAAATTTAGATCAGGCTCTCGCAAATTTAGATGCGATCCTAAATAGCAAAAACTGGGATTTTTGAGCTTAAAATTTTGTAACTTACCAGAGAAATCATAAAACAGCGTGAGATTCTTATGATCAAAACTAGAGGGATGGCTTCGTATTACAGCAAATTTGCAGCTAACAACCTTCAATAGCTCCGGACAAATTTAGATCAGGCGCAGGATCCCCCTTTTCTCATTTTTTGCTACCATACATAAAATCATAAAGAAAATCAAAGAAAATCCGCAGTTTATAAAATAACACTAGGTTTCGCACAGCATTAGCAAGGCTTATCTAAACTACATATAAATTGTAAGGGCCGCATAAATGGCATCACAAAAAGATTTATGAATTATTGATTGTCATCGTTGATCTACATGTGCGCTTTTGTCGAGTGTGCGAGTCTTCAGTGAACCTTCGGAAGCAGGATGTCTACACCAATCGGTACATCCAACATTATATCACACATACATGCCTTTAGTAGCATTTGAGCTTCCGAAAGTGTTTATTTTTTGAATTTCAGTCATGCCAGCAGGGTTCGATCCCCTTTGAGACAATATTTTGCGGGAAAAATAGCGGTTCCCATAAAAAAAGAACTAAGTCATAATCTTTCAAAAGTTCAGCAAATGAAGAGAATTTACTCTTGCACAAGTTTTCAAATTATTGTTCACTCGTTTTTATTTTATACATTGGTACATGGCATTCCATGGAATTATTGTTAAGAACATGTAATAATTACTCGCTATTTGATTTGCTTTCAATCGCACTTTTTTTTACCAAACTACCCCCTCTTACGACCCCCCCCCCCTCATCGTACGCCCCCTTTACGACCCCCCGTTGCGACAGTCGCATCACACGCTTGACCCTGATCCAGATCCACGAAGGCGATCGGTCTAAGGCAGGGTAAAGCGGGGGGGAGGAATGCTGCACACGACCGTCGCGTACGACCCCCCCCCCCCCTTGGGCCGGACCTCGGCAGATACACAAAAGCGAGCTGAAATTCCTTTTTTAGGGAATTCTATTCTTCTTATTTTGATGAAACCTACCACGATAGCGAGTGTGAGGAAAGCGAATAGCGCGGTTCTAAGAGTAAGAAAACAGGTTGATCTCATAGTATTCTGTCAATCGGATCTGTTGTAAATAAACCTTCTCAGTTATGATATCCGACTTATCAGCATACTCAAGGCGTCGAAATAGGCGTTTTCTATGACTAAGTTCATCCAATTCCAACACTGATTGGGCCTTACGCAGTTCTTTTTCTACGACTTCAATTCTCGCCTGTTCTCCTCTGTAAATTGAAAAATAGAGGTTCGAAACTTTTCCAAAAGATCTTAAAAGATAAAGTTAAGGTAACTTCGCACCTTCACTAGGTATTGCTTCTTGATCATCTCAGAATCGCGAATCTTGCGAAGCGGATGCTCCTGACTCCCCTGTTCCAACTCAGTCGCTTTTTGTACAGCGTGAACAAATGCTGGTTTGGTGATGCGCATGTCGTTGACCGGATATAAGAGTGGTATTTAAGCAAACCTTTGCTTGACGCTTTGAATTTCTGTTATGAATCGTCGCTATTTTTAGAATCACCCGACCTTTATCATCTGCTCTATGACGCCTTTCGAATTCAAATCCAACTTTCGGGGAAGCTTCAGCCTGACAGCACTTTCATCCACACAATCCCAATTGTAACGACGTCCCATGCTGCCTAAAAATGGATGAATAGTTGCAAGGGTAAATCGGATTCGCAATTATTTCAATAGTTCTGGTTGCGACTGGAATCTTACTGTAACATTGAATTGCTTGCCTATTACGAGAAAAGCTTTTCATACTATCGTTACAAAAAACGCGGGATAGGTTATGAATTATAAACGGGAAAGCTTCGGTCAATTCTAGTACCTTTTTAATTTTAGCAGAAATGACGTCATCTCAAAAATTGCCTACTGTTATCAAGATATTTCAGCCTTGTGAGGTTATACTAGCAATGTAAGTGGGATAAGCGTTATGCTAACGAATTCAAATCACTACAGAAAAGATCATACAGATAATGTGAATTGCAATGCAGCATGAACATCCACAAATTATAAAAACTCACATAGACCGCTCAGAGATCGGCTGTAGTTCGGCTAAGCTATGATTTTCATCAATGCTATCACTACTGAAGCCCATAAATACCTGCAAAAAACAACTCAATTTGGTAATAAGGTGTTATTAAGCATTCTCACATCCAGTATGTAGACGATTTGGCTGCTGTCGTCAACATTCGTTTTTCTGTGGAAATTCACAAGAACTGTTCAATCGAAATCGCGAGTGTCATCCACAACCTGCAAGAAACTGCGAATTCCATCTATACATGACAACTTAGTGCAAATTCTCCAAAGTGAAACGAGAACCAACTTATGAAAACATACATGGATCATCCTTCCTGCATGTAAGAAAGGGACCAGATATTTAGGCAAAATTGTTTTCTTTATGGTCGTTTGAAGATTGGCCATCTAAATGAAACATATTGAAAACGATGACTATAGTAAGGTTTATAAGAATAAGAAAGACTCACGAGAAAAATACCTGCTTCTCCATGTTGAAGAAAGCAGTTATGTCTCGTTCAAGCTCTAAGTGCATATTTTCTATTTCAATAGCTTTCTCTTGCGTTGCTAGAAACAAAAGTAGAAATCGACAAAAATGTAGGAGAAGTGAAAAAAAAACTACTGAGAAAAGGAACCAGGGAAGACAGAAAGATTGAAATAGATCAAACGCATAAAACCCACTCTTCTTAAGACCTGGGATGGATCATAATTTTGGAACTGGTAGAAGGACCTTTCTAGCATAAGCTCTGGATTTACGCCCTCTACCCGCAGAAGATTCAGCACCATATTATAAGACGAAAATGTGAGTTTAGTGGATCCTTTGCAACCTATAAGTGAGAAAATGAAAAACGATTTTGTGGTTTTTGTGCAACATACTGGATTCGCCAAATAAGTCGGAACATACCTTGGTAATTTGCTTTGCATCTTCACTACTCATTTTGTGATCCACCATCAAGATCACAAAACCTCGATCGTCTTTTCCTCGCAGTCCTGCCCTTCCGGACATTCGAATGTACTCTCCAGACGTAATCCACCTAGACAAGAAAGGATACTTCACTAATTTAGAATCGAAGACTGGCAGGTAGTAGGCAATCTAGCTCACCTATTGTCTGCTCCGTCAAATTTTCGAGCCGACATAAGCAGCACAGTCCTAGCTGGCATATCCAAGCCCAACGAGAATGTTTCGGTTGCGAACAAAGTCTAAATCGGTAGATGTATTGCTTGTGAATCCACCAAAAGAAGAGGAAGCACCTTCAGCAATTCCTTTCCGAAGAAGATCTCTACAGTTTTCTTGAGAATTGGTAAAAGGCCAGAATGATAAACTCGGATTGCAGTATTAAAGGTAGAATCTTCATAGAAAAAAAAATTAAAGTTGAAGAAACTAAGTACTAGCGCTAGATGTACATGTCCTAATTGAGGCAATTTTTTGTCCTCATTACTCAGAAGGTCTATCGCACTGTCGTATATCTCACGTACCAATGTCTTTTATTCCTATGGAAGCGAGCACATAGTGACTCTGAAATGTTTAATAGTGGTATGTAAGCATCAGGTCGAGGAAAGTTGATATACGTAAGAAGATGTGGCGACTAACTCGGCACATTCCCGTCAAGAAGGATAAAAATAACCGAGATTGAAGGAAAAGAAAATATACCAGCATAGAACCCAGGTGGGTGAGGATCGAGTCGAGGTAGTTGATGACAGCATGGAAGACGAACTGTTCGGTTGATGAGGTGATTTGACGAAAAGTCATAAGATGATGGAGGCGTTAACGTTTGTTCTCATCGTCGAGAGAGGATAATGGTTGAAATTTCGGCGCTATTGGCGTAAATTTGGCTGCGTTTTTTGTAGCGTTCAAGCAGTATGAGCTGCTGCTTTTTGCAGGCGGCTCATTACGCGGTTTTATCTGCGGCATCTTAAGCGTAACTTGCGACGGGACCAAACTATTTTGGGTGGAGTGGATTAGCTCTTTATCAGTTGCAGTTATGACATCTGCAAATGTCGCATCGTCCTTAATGGTACGACCATTTCGTTCGCTCCTTCTCTCTTACTTTGGAAAACCAAGCCGCTCTCAACATCCTCATTGTTCTCCTCCCTATTTTGTGACACGGTCTTTGTAGTGTTATGGATGCGAGTTCAATTTTGGTAGTGCTATTGGTACGCTTAGTTCGATTGCAAACTTCGACTTTTGTACATGAAGATGAGCGCACGTTAATTCATATTTCAAAGCGTCGAGAAATTCGACCGATATATCCTAAATTTTGTTTTGACGGCTGATTTGCGATTTGCCTTGAAAAGCTGAGTACGCGGCGGCAAGCCCTTTCTTTGTACTGCTGCAGCTGCGCTGAGATCAAGTAATAAGCTAGGGCCCGCCGCAGCTGGCGACCCCCTCCTTTCCTTCTTAACTTTAACGTCATTTAAGCATCATTGATCTCATTTGTTCGTGCCTTATATGTACTTCCAATTTCAGTACTTTCCTTACTTTTTTATCAGATTAAACAAAATCAATCAGGTTTATCACTACCTTTTATAATCAAAATTTCATATTGTGCTGGTACTACACTTCGCTTGCAAAATCGTTTATTTGAATTTTATATTTGTTAATAAAGGTTTAATTACCCAAATTTAAGGTAATCTCTCACGAGCACAACTGTCGCTCTGAAGACGCGCGTGGCAACAACGACCACTGTACTCCTATCTCTATTCATTATGTGGTGCATCGATTACACGGCCTCAGATCGGTAAAGTACAACAGTTGGTTTTTGTGGAACTACTGGAACATACACTACAGCTTTTGCTGTACCCGCTCTAGTTTGCTGTCTTCATATCTCGGAACAACACAAGAGTTTTTCCTGGTCCGCTCTTGTCACATCAATATCTTGATACTGAAGATTTTTTTTTCGCACATGACCGATCGCACTCCTCGCATTATTACATTTATGGAAACTTTCCTGTCTGTCCCGAATGTTTGTCCTGTATACGGGAAAACGTCATTTGATTCACTTTTGCAACAAGTTGAACTATCGTCTCAAAATTCAAGGAGGAAAAATTTGGGAACCTCAACGTAGCCGTAATGCAAAGAGAATCAGTTTCTCAATACATAAGGGAAAGTCTACAAGACTCAGCGAAGCAATAGGAGCATTAGATGCAGCAACGCTTAACACCGAACATTCACTGACGTACTATGCCATCAAATTTACGGATAAGGACTAGCCGATGGAAAAGCACAAACAAGACTTTGAGGAGTGTTCAGCAAAAGCGGAAAGAACGCTCATTTCGGTTACGGATTACTCACTGGTGCTGAAGGCAAGAGTTTACCGTTTGATTTAACTGGCTTGGCTTCGGCAAAGGCGGGGCTTCGTGACCTAATTAAGGCTAGGTAATGGTTAGAGAACACTCGCGCGAGGGAGACGCAGGTGCGTCGCGGGCGCGAGCGGCCTCAGTTAGATCAGAAAACCCCGCCCTAATGGTGCCAAGCCAGTTGAATCAAAGGTTACGCATTCACTGCGTTTAAAGTAGAGCCAGAGCACAACCAACAGAGTGGATCAGGTCAGGTACAAAGCCATCACAGAACTCGCATGAAAAGTTGGATCTTCCTACGCTTACCGTAACAATGTTTCAGAAAACGTATGGGAGTGGGACAATTTTAGGGAATTGGTTATCGAGATAGTCCATTCAAGAAATATCCCGGTGTTGTGCAAATTCAACTATTTACAGCACTCGCTTCAGAAGATGCTCTTGAAATGAATGATATGATTTCAAAATCGTTCGGATTCGAATAATTGCATGCTGCTCAAAATAAGAAATCGACTTTTCAAGCACATTCACGTGACTGTTGGTCATTTGAAGATTTTCAAAAAACATCGATTGTAATAGGATGTTTCTAGAACAAAACCTCTCCTTTACACCAGATTTACGTATCAATTTTAGATTGCTGGTTTCGGATAGCTTTGTTTGTATGATTGATTTTGTGCATAGAATTGGCTAAAGCCTTGTCAGAATGACACTAAAACGATATTTTGAGACGAGTTTACGGTTTTATTCGAAAATTGCCATTTAAATCATCTCAATAATGGAACAAAGATGTTAGAATGCTGAATCAGTGTGAACCTTGCTTAAGTTCGGAGATTTGAAAGCGCTTTCATGCGGTTTATTGAGATTTTTGGTCATCAGTGTGATCAAATGTCTGACCACGCTTCCAAATATCATCCAATTTGCAATATATAGAATTTGAATACAGAAAATGAAAACTGAGGCTTCTAAATTTTACAAAATTCCTGTTATACTTTTTACTTCTTGAAAATCCAAGATTCCAAAATTCAAATAATGTGCATGATGACGGGATGCAAAGCATCCGTCGTCCATAGGAAATCACCCAATTCATGGGTGTGAGTACGTTATGGCCATATTTGTGAATGGCAGACATGGGTATATTCCATAGTCTTCGGTAAATATGAGGGAGGGCACAATCTGTTTACACACGTTCATCTGAGTTGATGGTGCGCTAGGTTGGCGCATCGCATTTCACCATGGAGAATGTCATTGAAAAATTCTAAAATTTATTTTCAGTTACTCCGCATCAAATCCCATACAATGCACACTAAAAGAGGTTTCCACTTTGAGTTTAGGTTTTCCTGTTGTAATTTACCCCTCTGACACGCTAGTGGCACCAAAGTGCAGCCGTGAAAGAGAAGGATCGGCCGTAGGTGCCGGGGTTGCTGAGGTTGCAAGAGGCCACTCAGAGAGCGCATAAGAGCGCACACACGAAGAATCTATGAGTACTACAACGACCGACAACCCTGGCAGTTGCCGGCAATCTATGGGCGTTACCAGAAGTGCTCAAATACAACCTAGAAAAAAATAGGCAAGAAACACAACCACATGCGGAGAAAAAAATCGAAGAAAAAAATAAACTTTGAGTATCCATGTTTACAAAACTGTTGCAAACTTGCTGGCTACTTATTTGCGGCAACAATCATGCTTGGATAGGCCCTATTGTGCCCTACGTACTATGAAACAAATTTGAAGGCTTCAAGAAGATATTGGATTTTTCTACTATAAAAAAGTGTAACGAAATTACCGCCAACCTAAGCGATGAATATGATGTGGCAGGTAATTCAGGCGTGACACTTACTTAATACAGCAAATGGAAAATAAGGGGTGATCTGCTTTCTGTTAGTTCACACTTGTACCCTCGAGTAGCTGACCGCACTACAACATAAACGTTGCGGACCACGCGCGGCACGATTAACATGTTGCGAGAGCACGACTTGTACAGGAATTGAAGCCTAATCGCCCGCGCCGTGCCTTAAACACCAGGAGCATATTCATCAAACTTCAACTCGCTGTTTGGGCGCGTTACACCGCTATACACGCTTCGGACAGGCGAGAGCACTCAACTCGTATCATACGAAAGGTTGGCTAGCATGGCCTAAACGGGCAGCAGAGATTGATTTGTCGAACGGGACCTACCGTGCCCGACATGGCCAAATTCGCCAGATCGGACCCTCGAGGTTCAACATAATACAGCAATGGTAAGAATTTCTGTAATTTCTGTTATCCAATCCGGCCCTCCATTTTATACAATTCGATGCGCACTTTTCGATGAGCTAAGAAATAACAGTTTTGATTACTTTGCACATTTATGCAATTCTACCTTATCTTTTATGTCATGACTAGTCCTACAATACAATAATATTCAATGCCTACTATATTTAGAACGAATTGGCCGTTTTCGGCACTTTTTAGAAAAATGACTAGCTTCTCAATCTGACTTTACCATTGTTAAAGTGATACATTAAGGGTGCGTATGAATACACCTTTGATCGATGACTGCAAGGAAAGGAAAACAACAAAAATTATGGGTTTGCGATATGCAGAGTTTATGCCAGCAGGGGTCGCTCACTCGCACTGCTGGCATGCTGCTCTCCACACTAGGATCCTTAAAGGCAGTATCCAGGCTAAACCTAATCCCCTCCGATTAGTGTCGATCCTGAATGAAGGCCTCAGAAAAAGGGCATCTGGGTTGGTCCGGTATTCTAAGTTGTCTCTGAATGTTGCTTAGAGACTTGAAAGTTCCTGGCTGGGCTCTGATATCAGACTCCGCCCACCAGGGGCTGCCTCTCCACACTTAGTGACATGGTAGTGAGCAGAAACTGCACAGGGCACACTGCAATGCAACTGCACCTCATGCAGTTGCAGCTCCCTCCCGCTGCCCTGCCGACGAGGACGAGCTATTCGAAACTCGTCCGCTCCCTCAAGACAGGGCCCCCAAAAATCGGGGTTTTTTAAATGAATTTTGGAGAGTTCGAAGTTCGGAACTATAATCAGGGCCACAGAAAAGCCCCAGAATGACGAAATCAGGGGGGCCAAATTCGTGGGCGCTGCCTTTAAATAAGAGTGTACGCGAGTTTGATAAATAGCCCCAGGTGGTAACAAAGAAACTTGTGCACTTGTGAAGAAATGAGTAACACATCTCCATTCTCGGATATACCAGCGTCTACATCGCCTCACTTCCAGCGTTGATACCAGCGAACCATTAAGGCTTGGTGGTTTTCTCATAGCCCATTATGTCTGTAGTAACTCGAATGGTCTCAAGGGTTGTACTGCGCAGATGCTGCTCAAGAAATGTAATCTGATGAAGTGATTAGCTTCTCATTTCAGCAAATATGATAATTACCGTACATATGAATGACTTTTTGCAAGTATTGGCTGAATGAGAATGATACTTTTCAACATCATTCAAAAGATTCATCATTACCTGAAAAACGGTCATTTTCGGTGTGTCCCATTAATTTCTCTTTCACGTCAGTATTGAAAGTTCTGATCATGCTCTATGAATTGCTCTACACATCTGTTTTGGAGGATATGAAACGCTAAATCCAGGATCTGGATCTGCCATGAGTATCGTTCGAGAACTCAATTCAATTCAAACATTCACTCGCTGCTGCCTCATATAAACTCTAGAGAAAACAACATTGGTTTTACGCTACTCATATATTCAAATTTTGCTCACAAAAAGCTTCATAACATCTGCCATCATTACATCTGCCCGTTTTCCGTGAATTAGGATCCACGTCAACAAGGTTTGAGCTACTACAAAGATGAATAATTTGTTATTGCAAAGCTAGTCTTATTTTAATCGCCTGACAGGGCTCTGTCTACATCTCCAAATGCACTCATTAATATGAAACAAGGGATTTTGAACTTGTTACAAGCAGCCCCTGAAGATTTACTGATTCCGGAGGATTAGATTAATCATGTGTGAGAATGTATTGGACCTGTACCGGAACCTATAAACTTAATTGGCTACAAGGGTTAAATTGGAGTTTCCAGAGCGATCCCCTCGCCCCGAACAACAGCAGTAGCTAAACTATGGCAAATATTAGGCTGGAAAGAAAAGCATCGCTTTTCGGTTTTTTTTAACTGGAATTGGTATTTCTCATGAACTAAAGCATATCGAAGGCCCAAATTTATGCTTATGGGCGGTGTTTCACCAGAATGGGGTAATGCGGGTCATCATATATTTCGTTAGAGGACCGCCTGAACAGGCGAAAATCACAAATCATCTTGAAGGAAGTGTGGATCGGCAAAATGAACCCTCCTCGAATTTTGGTGGTGTAAGGTAGTGGATCCTCCCGCACAGTTTAGCCCTTAGACTTAAGCCATGAAGTAGCAGGTGGGGTTTGGACTACAGTGTACTTGAAGGCTCTGCCGATTCATTGCCCATCAGTGGTTCACTGTAGAATTTCGAAGCTCAATAGCGTTGTTTACGCAAAAAGAGCGGTGATAAGACAGTAACGCAATACATGTGGGTTCACAGCCAAAATCCATGCGCTTCATAAGAACGTTACGTGAGACATTTCTATGATAGAGTCTTCAAAGCGTTAAGCTAAAAAAAGCTGATTTTAGTCCGCACTGTTTCAGGAAAGTCCGGAAGTGAGAGCAAATTTGAGGTGAAGAATATGGAGTAAGTTAAGGTTTGGAAATCTCTTTGCACTCATGCCTTATTTTGTTTGACGCAGCATTTCGTTTTTTCTTCCTTCTTCTTTCCATTTTAGTCTAGATAATCTGGAGGCAAAAATCAAGGTAATAAAGGATTTCATAACTAAGCTTGTGTAGCTTAGAGGAATGACAAAGGGAAAAATAGAGGCGCGTATATCTCTCATGACAAATGTATCTTTGAAACTTGTTTATGTGGATACGGCTGACATTAACACGTGTTTTATATGTCATTTCGGGTATATGTCAGATCGGCATCTTGATATGAACATGAAGTCATCATCGGAGAGCTCCACTTTGATATGCCAGTATTTCTTTGGTTTAGGGCCATAGTTTATAAATTCTGGTGGCAAGCCCAGGCACAAATTCCATGGCACCTAAACAACATTATAGTGTTTGATTTAGAATTGATTGAAAACGGTAGTGATGAAGGCAAAGCAATGTTGGCCTGCTCCCGCATAAGTAAATACCTCTTACAAGTATGTCTAAAAATTTTCAGTTTCTTACAAGCGCTGTTTTCAAAAAGTATGAAATGTGACGTAAAACCGAAAAGGAGACATAGTTTTCCCTTATTTTTGTTATCTTATGAGTATGCTACTTCGACTTCTTCTGGAATTCTAACTAATCATTGCTTTTGAGGGCGAGCGCACCCCAAGGCACATATGCTCGATGAAGAGGTTTGGTTCGATTTCAGTTGCCTCTATAGCACGGCCTTCAACTTTGAGTTTTCCAAATTTGTCCGGTTTGACGGGTCCACCTAACGTATTGATCATCCTACCAGGTACTGAAATTAAAGTATGAAATGAGCTAAACTTTGCAGTTCTGACTCACAAGCCTGCGCGTCAATCAACCATACTTTCGCATCATGGAACGGTTTATCGCCACAGCGAAGTGTCACTGTTGCCCCAGCCGACTGTACCCACGGTGTCCACGCCCACCCCATGCGTCTAGGCAAGGAGTAGCATGATGGGAGAAGGTACAAGAAGACTAGTACTCGCATCCTAATTTATACCTTTTATTTGTCTTATTATAAGTAATGGTCTAAGCTCGACAAACTCCACGTAAGTCAGTGTTTCAACGACTTGGCACACCAATTTACCAAAACTTGCTGGCTGTGATTGCATGATGTTGCACTCTGTTACTGCGGGTTTCTCATGCTACCACGGAAGACCAAATTCAAAAAAAAATGTAGAAACATATCACTCGATAAGCCAGAACTCCTAAAGGGCCGGTCATACATCACATACATCACGCGATTTCATCGCCTCGCGATACTCACAACATGCAACTTACGAGTTCATCGCATGCAGAGTATCTTGCATTTTGGTAGTGATAGTTTTCCAACAAAACTAACGCGACACACTATCACAAAAGAAGTGCAAGATGATCAGCACGCAATGAACTCGTAACAGTTGTCTTGTTATGGGAATCGCGAGGCGATGAATCGCATGATATACTATGCTTGGCGCTTAAGATACCTTGAAACATTTGCACGGTATTGAAATCTTGAAGAATGAAGTTTACCACCCTCAGACTTTACTCTACCTATACTCTTTATATACGGCGATAGAAACGTATCGTATTCTTCTCGTAGCCATGTATCAAAAATATGGGAACTGGAATGCTGTAGGCAGAGCAATGTTGGCCTGCTCCCATATAAGTAAATCTATCTTTGCAAGCATGACTAGAAAATTTCAGTTTTTTACAAGCGCTGTTTTCAAGAAGTATGAAATGCAACGTAGAAACCAAAAAGGACACTTTTTCGCATTTTTACCTTACTTCCTCTTTCGTATTTTATTAGGTTGTGAAGAAAGTTTTCGGGCACTTTTTCAAATTTCATTTTCAAACGCATTCTTTCGGCGCTCGTTCGGACTTTGACACCAAGTTTTTTACACTATTCAGTAGAGAGAAGCCTGAAGTTTTTAATACGCCTTCCGACTTTTATCGATGCCAAGACGTGTTTGATCTGCATATCAAGAAGAGAAATCTTATCAACCACAAGAATTTCACAATTTTTTTAGGGCCGTTTTTTTTGTGCAGTTCAAAGCATTTCGTCCAAATCATGGGTGTTCTGATTAGGAAGCCTGTTTCTGATGCGCAGCTGCACTCGAGTTTTGCGATTTGCGCTCAGAAATTACAAGCTGTCAAACTTGCCTCTGACTACAACTCTTTGCGCAGCTGGCGTCGCTTCTGCGAGGATCGGCGCGCCTGGATGATGGGTCCAAAAGATGTGTAAGACATTACCCCAACAATGTTCGCAGTAAACAAGGATTTGGTCCATCCTATGCAGAACGACAAGACTTCAAAGTCACTTAATCGAAAAACGGTGCATTTTTGTGGGCAAAAAGTGGTCGATTTTTCAAATTTTCTGAAAAAAAATTTTTGCAGCTGGTCCTTCAAAAACGTGAATGGTCCCAATAACAGCCCCAGAAGACCTCTATATAACTACAGCATCTGGGCTTTCCAGCTCTCATTTTGCCTGAGATAATCTTGCACAAATAGACCAGTTTTCGCGACGATCTTTTTCCCTTCTGCGCATGCTGGTGGACCGCGTGGTGAGGTGCTGAGAAGCCAGCAAGACAAACATATGTTGTGGACAAAACTTTCTTTGCAATGAAGTTTGTAGCTTCAAAAAAGAACCAATCTGCTTGAAGTTACAGCGATCTGGAAAAATTTTTCGCAAGTGCCCGGGAACTTTCTTTACAAGCTAATAATTAGAAAAAAAATACAGTGATTGTTTTCGAAAAATATTTGATTAGGAGAGTCTACAGTCAGATTGGAAGTGGGTGGGTTTTTAGACGTTCGACTGTGAGTTCAAACTTAGCAGGAATCAATCTTTGCGCGGGTGCTTTGATTCCCACCTGTAGAGCTTGCATCGCTCAAACAATCTGATCTATGAGAGAGCATCACTGGTAACAAGCTCCTTTTCAGCTATGGAAGACTAGTAGACTAAACTTATTCTTTTTGCAAAATTGACTGAAACAAAAAATTGTCTAAGAAACGAAAACGTGCAGTAAAGAATGCGTCAGCGGCTATTTATGTGAGCAGCTTCGATAAAATCGCAGTATATTTTTATTTTTGAAATAGAAAATTGGTAATTGCTATAATGTATTGCCGAAATTGGCGTCCCGAAGCATTGCTAAACCATGGAGAAGAGACCAAAGCTTAAGACATCAATTTAAAAAGTTAACGACTCAGTTTTCCGCATAAAGCTGAAGACTCGATTCTTCCCCTCTAACGCATTTTTACATTATTAGTCCCAGTATTCTTCGCAGAGTCAAGTGCTGTTTGAGTGAAGTTGAGGAAGTGCTAATGCACTGCAAGAGCAAGTTTGCGCCATATTCTTTGCTTTTCATACAATATGCTATAGTAAGTGTTGGGTCCTCACTTGCCGGAACAGAACACAGTAAAGAATAATTGTTTATTAGGAAAATAAGCGAATAGTGGGAAATCAGATTTATTGACGAAAAAGGTGTGGATCGATATGATGAGCAGCAGGGGTCGACGTCGGGTGGTGAGCGTACCGCTCCAGATGGTGGCGTCCCGAGATCTCTCTCTACAGCCTCATGTATCTGTTATATATAGGTTGGCAACAGTTATCAGATCGTTTCCAGCTATGCTGTTGCAGAAATATGTCAACATCTGCATATGCCACCGTGGGATATCGTTCCCTCTTACACTATAAAGAATTTGTTGTCCCTCCTGATAACTGTTTTCGACATTTGCTTACACACGTTTTTTATCTTCGGGTTGTTCTCGGTGAGATTCTTTATAGCACATTGTTGAAATTTGAAGCCAAAGAATTGTTTTGTAAACGCTATTTACCTGAAAATATTTGGAAGGAGACTGAGAGCGGATCGAAGTTAATTGCGATTTAATTTGGTCGGCGCGAAATCCACACTCTGCTTGAAGTCCGATCGACTCTCGAGTACACTATGTGAGGAATGCTATGCCCAGAAATGTTTGACTAAGTTCAAGAGTTTCAAGAGTGCCTAGCTTCAAATGAAGACAAGAGTGCAAGAGTACCACAACTTATGCCATCGGTCACACGACAATTATCATTACCCTTTCCTCGCTCCTTTTAGAGAAAACTGCTGATACTAGATTTTGCATGCTCTCAAGTAAGATTTTGAATGTTTCACGTAGATTCAAGCATGTGCGGGTAACCTTGACGTGAGAACAGTGGCAAGGCTTTAGGGAAGTTCGCGAAGCTATAAAAAACCGCTCTATTCGAGTTTCCATTAGCGACAAGACTTTGTAGTAATGCCGCAAATACTGGATAGAGAAATTGCGGAAACGCATCTCTCTGACACAACAATATACCAGCGCTCCACTGAAAAGGATTATCAGATGCAATGAAAAAGCTGAATGAAGTTTGGGTTAGCGTAGCAAGATCAGTAAGGCTGGATAAGAAACTTATTAGCAGGCTAAAGCTAGAGAATCCTGTTTGCTCAGTATTCTAACACATGGTAAAGACGCACAAAATAACACCGAGCGAGCTCCACTCCATGTCTGCGACTACTTTTGAGGTACGTCCGATAATAAGCTGTGTTGGCGGACGCACGGATCGATTAGCATGGCTTCTCAATATGATTGTAAGCCAGTTGCTCCCGAAGTTCCCTTTATGGCGCACTATATATTGGTGAAACGGGTAGAATGTTGAAAGTTATAATCAAGGAGCACTTAGCGAATAAAAGGCGAACGAGTGCGTTGCCATCGTTAGGAAAGCATAGAAAAGAACTACATAATGACGGTGATTCTGATGTAAATTGCAATTTTATTATACGAAGCAGAGATTATAGCACAAAATCTATGGAAGCAGCATGGATTTCTATGAGAAATCCATGTAGAATAACAAAAATGAAGGTTTATCGACGACCGAACTCTTGGAATTCTTGTTACTATGTAAGCTACAGCCTGCACATATATAAAGATCATTCTGCTGAGCAACGCTCAGTGTCGCCCGTCCACATTGTGCGTCTACTGACTAACTCACTAACACCGCGGTGGAACATAGGTCAGTTTCTACTACATCAGCATGTGACTCAGTACGTTGTCCTCGGGACGAAATCCAGGCTGACTGATGCTTGGGGATTGGTTAGGCGGTCTTATCTCGCAGATGAGTAACTGCATTCTACTTCGGATCTCCGAAGACGACGACTTTGTTGAAAAGTAAGGTCAATAAACGATACCACCGTACTAACCTAGATTTGGCACAAAATAACATAGAACGAGTACATCAAGATGCCCAGGTTCAAAGAAGAGAGAATTTGGAACTCAAAATACATGTTTTGGCGGCTACATGCTTTTACAACTTCATGAATAGTTTGACATACCATACCGCTCATTCGTCAAAAAAGTCGCCCTTCCGCCGCAGTCTAAGAGAGCAGCGGAGTGCGCCAGAGGGCGCCACAGTTCGGCGACTTTTTTGACGAATTATGAGCGGTATTGTATGGAAAATAGAGAATATGGCGCAAACTTGCTCTTGCAGTGCATTAGCACTTCTTCAAATCGACTTCACTCGAACAGCGCTTGACTCTGCGAAGATGCATTAGAGGGAAAAAATCGAGTTTTCTGCTTTATGCGGATGCTTTTGTCTTTTTTTTGCATTCTGTCGCCATGCTATTTCCGAACGTCTCATGAAATTATTGATCCTTTGTCAAATTGTTTGCTGGGTCGTTAACTTTTCGAATTGATGTCTCAAGCTTTGGACTCTTTACCATAGTTTAGCAATGCTTCGGGACGGCTTTTGTTTTTTTTAGAGTTTCATCGCCATGCCATTTCCGAACGTTTCATAAAATTGATGCTTTGTCATTTTTGTTGCTGGGTCGTTAACTTTTCGAATTGATGTCTTGAGGCTTTGATTTCTTTCCCATGGTTTAGCAATGCTTCGGGACGCCAACTTTCGCACTTACCAATTTCTTATATCAAAAATAAAAATATTAGGAGGGACACAAAGTTCGTTCGCCAGATTTTTAGAAAAACATAACTTCCTTTCTTCTTGGTGGAATTTCTTAATTTTACTTCTGTTTAAAAAAGAAAGCCTTTCTCTTTACAGCAGTATCTTTGACATGAAATGTCATGAAAAAAATTCGAGAGCTAGAAGCAGTCGAATGATATCAGTCAAGATCGGCACTTTTCAAGCTAGATCACGAAAAATTCTGGAAGTGTTATTATTTGATAGAGAAATTTATGCTCTTTACTATAGCACCTTTTCACGGATTAAAACGGAAAAGATCGAAAGTTATAAGCAAATAAAGAGAATTACTTCGATTTTGCAATTTTTGAACATGCTCAAAATAGCCCCAAAACGTCACAAAAAAGGTGGGAAGCTTTGGACATGGGTTTTGTGACCTTCTCTTTCTAGGTGAGTGGAAATTGTACCAGTCGAGAGCAATTTTGATTTCGTGAAAAACAGAGGCTCAGTGTCGAGACGCAGACTAATTAGATGGTCCGACAGTCCCTACGCCAACTGGGCGGTGCCCAGCAACTCCAGATGAGCTGTGCCTAACCGGGTGACCGGCGGTTACCCTTCCCCTCTTTTAACCTTACATATATATAATAAAGATTCTAGTCATAAATGTTATGTTCATATAAAGTAAGACAATCAGGGTGAAGGATTCAAGTCGGGAGAGTGCACCTCCTGGACTTGACATGGAGGTCCCGGGTTGTTTTCTTTTTATGACTCACATTTTTCTTGAATCAATCTTCTTTGATCATTTTTTCGTATCAAAAAAAATTCTTTTTCAAAAAAATTGAAAAGAATCAAATCAGCATAGATTTTGACCGAATCTTTTGCAAACTCCCACCGCCGGCACCAGCCCTCATCTCCTACGTCTCTACGTAGCTATTTTTTTCCTATTTTTTCCTTTCTTATCTCATTTTCTCATTTTCTTCCTTAGTTTTTTGAGTCAGGCGATGAGTTTGAGTTTGTATTCATATGGTAAACTCACTCAAATTAACATTTCCTATTTATTGGTATTCAATAATTTTTTCTTGCTATTTCCGAGCCGTGATCCCCCGAGCCGTGAAAAAGCGAACCGTGATTTTCCCGACGCGATCTTTCTAGATGAGTCCAACTCTCTAGATTGAGAATCCGCGAGCCGTGAATTCCGTGAGCCGTGATTTCCTAGAGCCGTGATATCCCGGAGCCGTGAATCATTGATATTTTTCTTTATTTTTCCTTTCTTTTCAACTGGGAATTTTTCCCCCAGATATTTTTACGCGCACATACAAAACTCAATGACTCTATCGCCACAGCCGGCATTGTACATATGTAAATAGGTCTTCACACGTGGAAAAAGCACTGTGAACCAAATTTTTTTTTGCCTTTTTAACTGTCACTAGTGGAAAGACCACTGTGGTAGTACTTCTTTGACTCTCGCAAGTGGAAAAAGCACTGTGAGCCCCACCAAATCAAGTTTTCACACGTAGAAAAAGTACTGTGAACTTTTGCCTGAAAGGATTTTCACTGACCGTTTTTATGATTGCCTGTGGAAATCCCAACGGCTACCCAATCGCCCGCGGTCACTCCAAAGGCTACTCTCCCAGCGCTTATTTTTTTTATGGCTAATCACTCAACTACGAGTGATATTAGCCGCCAGAAATAGGCACATGCAGCGGCATGCCCTTTGAACCTCGTATCCCATCGACGAATGTCTGGGCCAGAGGTATATGGCAATTGTGAAGGTATTTCGCTAACCTGAGGATTTGCCAACGAGCAACCAAGGAACACGCAACCATCAACCACTGCCATCGACTTCAAGTCAAAGAGAAGGTATTTTGATGACCTGAGGATTTGTCAACGAGCAACCAAGGTATACGCATCAATTATCAATTTTTCTTAGCCTTTATTTACTTTTTTTGTTTCGTCTCC